CCCTTTTAGATGAGAAAACATTTTACTCAATTCAACCTACCAGACATCTTTGTTAATGGTGTCATTCTGAGCTCTCCACGGTTTGGAGCTGTAAATGGCTTCACCATTCACAGACAGCCACTCTCCCATCTGCAACAGACGCTCCTCAAATGCAGGTATGATGCGACCATCTGCCGTTGGGCCAACATTCAACAACATGTTACCACCACAGCTGACCAAAAGAAAGCAACATTTTAAAACCTCCAACATTGAGCAGTGTTACAAATCCCAGATGGAGAGCTACTGTATTGGCTATTCACATTGCATTGTGGTCTGTTGTGAATCCAGGAATCTGATTTGGTTCTCCCATTGTAGACTATCTGCTAATAGACCATGATGGTCTTCAAATTTCCATCCAAAGGGAAGCCTTTTCGATTTTTGACTAAATATACTTGAAATTATAGGCTTTCACAGACACAACAAATACCCATCCACATTTTCTATGAAACATCTTGTCAATTCTCATTCTCATCTGGCACAAGCCAGTGACAATCCTCACCTTACAGTAGAAGCCAGTTGATAGATCAGTTGACTGATGGTCAAATATGAGTGAATGTCGACATTACGTCTGTAGCCCCAGGAACCCGTATCCACCGTCAATGCATTCTCCCATTTGTGATTCTGGAGTTTACCTTTGATAAAACAACAGTTGGTAGTAGCAAGTAAGGTCTCTCTCATGTTACAATAATACTAACTAGTTACTGCAAAAGTTGGATTATCGTAATAAAACATTAAAACGACTGGGCAAAGTCCACAGTCCCAAATGCCATTCCCGCAATCGTAACATTGATAGCATATGGCTGTAATAATGCAATTTGTGATCGTCATTACTAACTTCACGGAAGTGAAGTTCAACTAGGAACTCTCATTTGTGTGTGTTTCAAGGAACTTAATCTATGCATTTCCACAGAGTATGGTCAATGCAATACAAACAACCTTGTTATAGATAAGTTTAAAATAGCAAACAAAAGGGACTCCCATATGACAAGGTCGAGGATACGTTCATTGTCTCATAGGGCTGTAAATGAAGGAATTTGGTCTCACTTTGGGTGTTCCGGACAAAATTCCACTGACAGTGACTCTTCTTACTAGCGATCAACTTTTATTAGTAGTTGTACTTTTCAGGATTGGTAGGTAAAGTCTGCATACGAGCCAAGTGGCCCACCAGGCCAGAGCTTATCCCAGTTTCTGTAGCATGAAGTGACTAGGAGTATTTCTACCCCCCTTCCCCAACTGGATGGGATGCTATTCCATCGCAGGGTTACAGTACTTACCCCCAGCATTAAATTCGCCGGTACCCATTTATACACCTGGGTGGAGAGAGGCACTGTGAGAGTAGAGTGTCTTGCCCAAGAACACAACACAATGTCCCTGGCCAGGGCTCGAACCCGGACCGCTCGATCCAGAGATGAGCGCACTGACCATGAGGCCACTGCGCCTCCCTACTTTTTGGGGTGCACTTAGGAAAAAAATTAAAAAACGCTGTCTTTGTCATTTTTAATTAGTCAAGCCAGGTTTTAGGGGTTGAATAAAGACTGAGTCATGCCCAGATTGGTCTCCTTTAGTGGTTTAATACAAATTTTTCAGATGGTAGTCCTTTTCATATAAGAGTCACCCCCTGGACAAAACATTACCTCTTGTGGGGTGNGCCATTTCAGCAAAACAACTGACTGACAGCCAACCAAAACATGGCCAACTGTTGATTGCAATGGAACAGTCATGGTGTCTTCCTCGAGTGTCAACCGACCTGCAGACCAAGTGTTGACCTATAGTGTCAACCAACTGTCTACCAACTTGAATAACATGTCAACTTGACAGACACTAGGCCAACTCTCAGTTGACATATTGACAGAGCATTGGTCGATACGATTTGACTGACACTTAGTCCACATATCAACTGATAGTATCAACTGATACTTGGCTGACAGATGCCTTAAGTATGCATGATCCTCAAAGTCTGTACATAATATTTAAAAGTAACTGATATGCTGAGTCAGTCTTGCATATACCTTTCATTATAAAGCCATGCAAGAAATTCCTGACTTTTCCAGTATGTGTCAGGTCCCTGACAACCATCTGACCACAAGTAATCAGGCTTATACATGTTGATCAGATCATACAGCTCTGGCATGAGAATTTCCTGACAGGAAATACAAACAAAGTACAAACTAGGTTATGTTGACCTATCACCAAGTGTCATTATAAAGCCATGCAAGAAACTTTTTGCTTCCCCAATATGTCAGGTCCCTAGGACCATCTGACCACAGGTAATCAGGCTTATACATGTGTATGTTGATCAGGTCATACAGCTCTGGCATTAGAACTTCCTGACATGAAAAATTTAATAAAATCTAATTAACTGTAATAATAGATAAATATTGTATATACAGAGGGAGACATGGCGCTTTGCGGTGTTGCGGTGTTGATTGTTTTTCTGATGCAGTGATTTTAGTCCCACCGACAAGTGTTATGATGGGTTTATTTGGAAAATTATGGAAAATTATGGAAAATTATGAGTTATAAAAGTATTATGTCAAGTGTAGACGTTCAAATCACAAAGCCAAAAATATATATTGCAGTGATAAATAGATAAATAAATACTGCATCTTAACTCCCCTGGTAAAGGATACCTGGTATATGAATGGAAGTAAAAATAGTGTGGAAAATGGGAACATAGCTTTGTGCATGATTAGGTAATATATAATTTCAACATCTACACTTTTGGCATACCTTGACATAATCCCGTGTCGTAAAGTTATTGGCAAGATCCTTCTCATAGAGAGGATGGAACCATTCAAAGAGGGAATGATACAATCCAAAAGTGATGTTGGTTTTACTTCTAATGGCAGTTGCTAGCTCCCCTGAAAATTACAGCACAGACTAGTTACAGCAGGACGATTCACACTCAGGTGGAGTGTCAGGACAAGCAAGAATAATGACCATGCCAGCTGAGTACTACTTACTTAAGGTGGCTAGTAACAACAGTTTCCTTTATTCTCTTGTAGTTTATACTTTGATACGTTTTTATTACCATTCTTCACCAGTTTATCCTTCAGGGTTTGGGTACCAACAAAATGTTACGAGGACAAACAATTCTGTGGGGAGGGGGACTTGCAGTGGACTAGCATCCCATCAAGGGTTAGGGTAGCAGTATCACTCTCAGTCACTTCATACATGAGAAACAGAGGTAAGCAATAGTAATCAAGTCAATTCTAGCACCTTGAAATCTTGGATTGGTGCCAATTTTACTTTTTATGCTGCACTATATTCAGATACATTGTACTGAGAGACCACATGGCAAGGGAGATTTTTGTACAATGTATCTGTGGTAAGCGGGTTTGTAGCTAAGAAAACAGCCTCCTGGCTAAGGTTTTCATCGAGACAGTCACCATTTTTTTTTTTTGCCGGAGACCTGGAACAAAATTTTCATCCCCAATCTTTTGCAACACCTTGAATGCAGGGCTACCCCGCTTTGTGTTTACAAGATGGTGGATGCAGTACATGGAAAGAGAACATGCTAAGTAAGTAATCAAAAACAAAATTTTATAATTTCAATTACTTTACTCATTATAGTGGCACCAATACTCAAGGTAGTCAGGAATTGATTCTGAACTTTTCATTTAGACAGGTTGATATGGCTCAGATATCAAATGATTGCCAGTATGTGCGTAACCTAAAAACCGTTCGTTGTCCTTTAACGAGTGATCGCCAAACAAAATCCAGCCGGCAATCACCTCTTCTCAATTGACAAATTTCCCTGGCAGCTGGGGCTCAGTGACAACACCGGGTATACTGCCGATTAAAACCGTTATTGAGTTTATTAGCAGTGTGAAATCAATCAAGAGTTAATTGGCAAACAAAGTAGTTTTGACACTATAGATTACCTGTAAGCATACATAAATATTTCTCATCAGTGTAATTAATACATAACTGTCCTTACCCACTAGATCCCTGTGAGGTCCGTTGTCAACAGAGTTCCAGTTCCATGATACATTTGATCTCCAATTTGTCCATCCTTCATGATGTTTACTGGTCAGGACATAATATCTAAAGGATAATTCAAATGTCTGAATAAGTTTAACAGTGAAATTGTGAGAAATGTTAGTTTTGCATGATAAGATTAGCACTGGACTGGCACAGTCCCACAATAAATAATAAATAATATATAATTATATTAAGTCTTTTAAGTCCATGGATTTATCATTGTAACCTTTGTAGAATCAAGACAAACACAATGCTGCATCATACTGGAAATTTCTATGTCATCATCACGAGAGAACCACAAGGTTCCACAAGAACCAAAGAACTGTAAGAACCACTAGAATAATGAAATAGAAAAGAAAGATAAAGGGCAACTACTGACAACAACTAGGCCACCAGGTGAGCATAACCAACTCAAAAAACACAATTCAGAGCTCACTCACTGATAAAAGTTGACTACTGAACATTTGTACCCTGACAGATTGAAAACTTGTAATCCTTTTTAAAAACTTAATAAATAGACAATTCGCCAAACTCACCTTGCTCCAGACTTTGTCAAAAGGTCAGCCCATGCCTCAGGGTCAAAGAACTCCGCCCTGAACATTGGAGCAAAGTCTTCATANGATTACTTTCGAATGTGCACTGCGTTGCGACTGTAGTGCTAAGAAAACAGTTAAATTTTAAAAGCGCGGTTTTAAGATCTAACAGATCTTCTTGTTCTCAGTTACGGTATGTGTAAACCTCAAACAGTTTTGCGTGCAACAATCTATCGATCATGTGATTATCACAAGCGGAAGCCGAATGACATAAACGACAACAACTAAGAAGTCAGAACAAGTACATTAAAATACACTGCAGGCATTCCTGACAGGCGAAAATCTATTCCACTGAGAAACATCAAATTGTCGCTAACGACAATGACAAATTGAATAGAAAGGAAAGTACAGCGTAATTAAGTTCAAGTAGGTTTATCTGCTCACCTTAAGTGTTTACAGTCTGTTTCTCGCGGATCAAACTGCAAAACTTCCCTGTGGTTCTTGCTGATCAAAACGAAAAAATCACTCAGAAGACAAGATATCAACGTCAAAAATGAGATCTCAAAGCAAGCTCTTGCAGGGTAAAAGTAGAATAGACCTACTCCGTCAGCTAAAAATTAGGCTGATTTAGCAAGAGAACGGGAACGTCACATGACGACGGCGCGCGCAGCACAAATACTCAAATATGGTCAGATGACGACTGCAGGGCGCGCGGAATAACCTGGATTCTGTTCTGATTTGACCATATTTGGGTATTTGTACTGCGCGCGCCGTCGTCAAGTGAGTGGAGATATTCAGCGGACATGCTTTTAAGTAACAAATATGTTGTGTAAGCGTCACGGAATATTTAAGTACCATTCACACAGATCTTTAAAGTCAATTAC